GGAGCTGTCACAGGGCCTGATCCAAAAGGCCAAATCATCCTTGAAGTCTTAAAGTTTGCTGAAAGCTCTATTAAGCCACATGGGGAAGATGCCCCAGATCATGCTGAATACACAGCTAAGGGCACAGAGTTCTAGGCCAGCCTAGAGACATACTGAATGATTGAATCCTCAGCATGGCGGATTAGTTCTTGCTTTGAGTCATCTTAGGGGTGTTTGTGGCACCTGACATGATAAGACTTTATCACAAGTATTAAACAATACTGCATCTCTTCAGACAGAGGGCCACGGGGTAGGCATAATCTCCCTCCCGGGGGATTATGAAGACAGGTGTCTGCAGCATGGCTCCAGTCCCTCCCAGCTGGGACAAAGAGGAGATAACGACTGGAATTTCATCTCTATTTCTAAATTGTCTCATTGCTTCTGTCTACAGCCCTGGGATGCTTTACACAGTCTTTGGTCTTCTTAAGAGCTTTAAGGAATGAGTAATTGGAATAAAAAAATTCTCATTTTCTAAAAGTCATTGAATTAAACAGGAGTCAGCTTCTACACAGCAGGTGAATATCTGTCTCTAAAAGGCTGACAATAAAATATGCAGTTTCATGTGATAGATGTTTGCTCCGAGGGGAGTGATTTGCCTGCCTGTCTCATGAAGGGAATGCTGTGGATGTAATTGATCCACTACCTCTCTAATCCATTATCTACACAGTGGCGGTAGCGAGGGCTGATGAGCCTGGAGCAGGCTGGCGATCTCATCCAAATGTCGTTTTCCCCTCTGATCCCTTCAGTGCTTATTGACATTTTTTTTTGTTTTTGTCATTACTGCTTCTGTGGCAGGGTGACCTTTCTTTCATGCAAAGGTGACTAAAAGGACTACTTGCCACTCCATGGTCATTCCTTCTTGCCTAGGGCTGAGGGAGGTCATGGACTTTTACTAATGGCTGGCAGATGAAGCCTCATCCCGTCTGGAGTTCAGTAACTGTGCTGGGAGGCCCAGAGACTTTCTTTTCCAACATGAGCTCTTCACTGTCTCATTGATGCCCTGGATCCAGCTGCTGTCCAGAGATGGGTGTGCTCTGGGAAAACACACAGCCTGGCTTGTAGGCTTGTGTCTGTGGAAGAGCCCTTCAAAGAAACTTAGTCCCACTTCCTAATTTTTAATTAAAAACAAATGGAGGCTCAGAACAGGCTAGAGCTCTTTAATCCTCTTCATATCCATTTTCTCAACAACAACACTAAAGGAAGTCATCAGCATTGAACAACAGAATTTGCCCAGTATTTTTGTCTATTGCTTCCAGTCTTCCCAAGCTTATAACTGGGCATCACCACTCCCTGTGAATGAGAACACCCCACAGGCTCGTATATTAGAATACTTGGTCCCTGGTTGATGGAACTGTTTGGGGAGAATTAAGAGGTGTGGCCTTGTTGAAGGAGATGTGTCATCGGGGTGGGCTTTGAGGTGTCAGGATCATCCCTAGTTAGCTCTCTTTCTGCCTCCTGCTTTTGGATCAGATGGAAGCTCTCAGGGTCATGCCTGCCTACCCTCGGCCATGCTCCCTGTCGTGGTGGTCAGAAGCTCCAGCCCTCTGGAACCATGAACTTCAAGTTGAATGCTTTCTTTATAGGCCCCCTTGGTCATGGGTCTTTGTCACAGCAATAAAAAGGTAGCTAAGACATGCCCTTTCACAGGTTGGAGTACTGAATCTGAGAAAATTTGAAAATGTTTCCAAGGAAGGCATTACCAGCACACAGGAGCATTTGGGTATAGACCTGGCTAGCTATGTTTGAGTATGGAATTCTGACTCTACACCTTGGCCTCAGAAATACACAGAAAAATCTAAAACCCTGCCACTCTCAGGCTCTAGAAAAATATTCCATCAACAACCACACAAGTGTCCCTATCATGTCCTCCACCCCTAGACACAGGACAAACTCCCAAGTCCCTGCTACCTTCTGTACTGTGAGATCTTTTCTCAGTATTTTGCAAAGTTCCTCCTAATGTTGATAGAGGTGTTTCATTATGAGATTAGAAATCATGTTTTACTACATCATTTAGACCATTTACTTCAATCATATCTTTTGGGCAGTTCATAGTGTCCTGTAGACAAATGTGTTTTCATGTCATCATATGACTTTTCCAGTGGAGACAAGAACAGATGTTTATCTGACCCAGATAGGGTACTGACAGCAGGCCAAAGAAAAATTCCCGCCGGAATCTAGTTTAGTGAGTTTATTAGTGTCACTTCCAGGGGGACACATGAGGGTGACAGGAGCATGCTGACATGGGGAGCAGCAGCATCAAAAAGCCCACGCCAGGAGTGACAGTCCATCAAAACTGCCACCTCAGCGCTCCATGGGTGACTTATAGGCAACTTGACAAATCCAGCAAGTCTCTTCCCCTTAGAGAGCACCCCACGAATAATTACTACTGATTGAATAAACTTGGGGAGGAATCTGGTGGATCTTGTAAATGTTAGTCTTCTGAGGCTTGTAAGTTTTATTTACTTCCTGTTCTTAGGAGTGTTCCTGCTCCCTCTAAAAGGGAGTGTTTCAATTTGGATATCCCTACGCAATACAGGTGGGAAAGAGGGGCTGAGGGGGAGAAAGGGGAGAAGATTAGCCTGAGGGATGGTGAACTGGGAACACCTCTGTGTCCCTTCAGGAGAACCTTGGCTTCCCATGGAGAATGCAATGGTTCAGTGTCGGAGCCGCTATGTAATCTGGGTGCTGTGCTCTATCAAGCGTGTTTATCAGTACAGGACTAGTACTGCAAAACTGTCTCAGGAATTCCAAAAAAAAGTGTGACAATTGATCCACTCAAGACTAATGTGGCCTTGCTCTTTAAGAGTGCCTTTCTTAGACTTCTTGGGAGAGACTAGATTTACAGCTTGGCATTGATCCTGGCTCACATTCTGTTGACCTTGAACACGTTTTATGAGCCTTCTGAGCCTCTGTTTTACATGTGTGTATAAAATACAACAGTGACCACCTGGCAAGACTATTGTGAGGATAAGTCCATATAAATGTTCTTATACAGGGCCCAGTCTCTAGAGGGGGGTGACATCTTCACGACTTTTCTCTCTTTCCCAGTCACCCCAACCACATTTCCTGGCTCACTGTCTCCTTTGATGTCCCTGCTTTCCCAAAACTTTCCTATCACCTTATAGTCTCTCTGATATCATACTGCCTTTCCCCTGCATGTAATAAAAGGGACCCAGGAGGAACATGGACTAGTGGTGGTTTTATTGACTAGAGGAAATTAAAGAAGAGGGATAAGATTGAGGTAATTGGGATAAGATTGTTGGCTATCTATAGAAGACCTATGTGTACAGTAGACACAGTTCCCTGTGTCTGACTCTGCTCTCACTCCAGGCAAGTGGAAGCATGACTCTTCTCCACTTCTCTTGTGGTTGCAGTGGAGCTAGGTGAACAGCCAGGGAGTGGTGGGCAGTAGAGATGAGATGGCACTGAACTTTGAGTTTCTGCTGCAGGGTCTGCCAAACCAAAGTGAAACATAAAGTATTGTGCTAAGAGAGGGCATCATAAAACAATAGTGACCGTCAGGATCAGAGCCTATTATAACCCGTGGTAGAGGTATAATATGAATAATGAAGCAACTTCTGTTATTGTAAGCTATTGGAACTTTGAGCATGTTCAATATTGAAAAAAATCTCTTATAGAACACAATATTCCAAAACTTGGCTTTTGAATTGTGGCCCAACAAATACCATATTTGTTGATAGTTTTGATGGGTTTGATTTTGTTTGAATTTTTGGAGTGTCCCACTCAAAACAAACAAACATCAACAGCAAAAAGAAAAACATCAAATCATGTTTTAATGGATCATTTGGGGGAAAAGCACTGGAATATGAAATGTGAACCTTGAACCTTGCCTTGCTGAGCCTTAGACACATGAGGTCTGAAGTTCAGTTCCTAGAACCCATATAAAAGGCTGGGAGCAATGGTCCACACGTGCAGTCCCAGCACAGAGGAGGTGGAGACAGGCGGATCCCAGGACTGGTTGGCCAGCCAGCCTAGCTTAATTGGTGAGTTCCAGGCCAATGAGAGACCTCGTTTCAAGACAAGTGGACAGTGCTGTTTGTATGACACCCAAAGCTGTCTTCTACCTAGCTGCCACATGGATCAGACATGCCCATATGTGAGCATGCACAAGCACTCGCTTAAGTGAACGTGTGCACACATACATGAATATATACACTTGCTCAGATGAACATGTACACATACAGACATGGACACATGCACACACGGTAAGATAAAAATAGAAAAAATATAAATTTTGGGTCCCATCCAAACCTACTGAACCCAATTCTGCATTTTTAACAAAATCGCTAGATAGTTCTTGTGTACATCAAAGCTGTAGAAACATGGATTTAGATGCTAGCTGGACTTGACAGGAAATGACCTGTGACTTCAGAGTTCGAAGTTGTTCTTTTTGTAATTATGTCTCAGTTTTTCTGATTATTTTATGGGAAAAACCTCAATTTGAGACCAGTATGTCTTTACCATCTCACCAACTGCTAGTACCCATTTTAGGAAAAAAAATGGATTTAGCTAGCCTTGAATTCTGGAGAGGTAAAGTTGTTTAGACTGAATAGAGCAGTGTTATTTTATTCTCATTTCAATGGTAGTCTTTCGTTTATGACAGACAATGCCGCTGTTCTAGATCAGGTAGTGAAAGAAAAAACTTCAAACAGCTTGATCTCTAGGAAGAACTGTACTTAACACATCTTGAGCTGTGCTTGTTTTGCTCTTTCCTCCCAGGTTAGGAAACCATTAGTTAGGCATTCCTGACTGTAGCTAGAGTTTTCCTGCCTTGCCCACAGTCAGGACAAATCTTTGTCACCCGCCAGTCCCACAGCCACTCAGACCCAACCAAGTAAACACAGAGACTTATATTGCTTACAAACTAACTGTATGGCCGTAGCAGGCTTCTTGCTAACTGTTCTTATATCTTAAATTAATCCATTTCTATAAATCTATACCTTGCCACATGGCTGGTGGCTTACTGGAGTCTTCACATGCTGCTTGTCATGGCGGCGGCTGGCAGTGTCTCTCCGCCTCAGCCTTCCGCTTCCCAGAATTCTCCTCTCTCCTTGTCCCACCTACTTCCTGCCTAGCCACTGGCCAATCAGTGTTTTATTTATTGACCAATCAGAGCAATTTGACATACAGACCATCCCACAGCACCTGACCTCTGACCCCTTTACACGGCATCACTCACAAGGTGTCTTCTGCACTCTGTATGGGCTGAGGGTGAGGAGAGTGCTCTGTTGGGTGATACATTTGGAAATGAAATGGGCACATTCAGAACTTTGTCTTGAAATTCAGATATCCAGTAGAAAACTTGAAGACTGGTAAATACCCAGCAATCAAATAATCATCGATCGCAGGATTATTGATTTCCTTTGTTTACAACTGTGTGTATTGGGAGAGCTGTGCTGTGCAAGTACTCTATGTATGTTTTAGCACAGGTGTGTATACAGGGAAGATACAAGTGGAAGGCAGAAATCAATATCAGGTGTCTTTCCTGGATCTCCCTACCACCACCATCACCACCACCACCACTACCACCACCACCACCTCCACCTCCACCTCCACCTCCACCTCCACCTCCACCACCACCATCACTACCACCATCACCACCACCACCACCACC